GTTTTCATTGGTTGAATATAGCCGTTTTTCTCGATGCACTCAAAAAATTACAATGTCTATGAACAAATTTTCTTTTCCAGTTACTCCTCGAACACCAAGACGTTCTCACGCAAGATGCCAACGATCCATTGCATGAATTATTGGAGGATTTAGGTGACCAACAACCAGACATCGAAGATCTCATTGGTATTTTTGATTTAGTCACGTGACTCACATGACTCTTTGGCATACCTGTTGTTCTATCATCTATCAACCTCTATGCTACATATCTGTATTTCATTGTCTGAAATTATATTATACCAGTGTATCAATGCCATCAATGCATCATTGTGATTGGTTGGGAGACTGTTTTAATTTATGCAAGCCATGGTTAAATAGAGCATAATGCACAGTTATGGTGTTCCAAATAAGGCCTCTGAATATGAATAAAAGTTCAATTCGTAAACAAATAAAGGGAAGAGCATTTAAATTTTAGGGACATTTTGGGGTAATTTGATAGCATGAAGATATTATATACATATTTTATTTTGGCAGTGGTTAAATAAAAAAAATTGTACAACCTACAATTTTTGCATGCTAATTTTTGCATGCGACATGTTTTCGTTGTCTGCAACATAGACATGGCCGAGTATCACGTTCGGGAGTTGTCAGAGCAAGATTTTCTTGCAGAAACCGAAGAATTCGTGCAGACGGAGAGAAAGAAACGCTTTGCCAAATTTAATGAAATTGACCTTGACGATTTCGAAACACAAGCTAAAGTATGCTACCGGTAGTGAAAATTGTCCCATTGCAGCATTTCAAAATGTATTTGTCCTAATTGCAAAATGCGTTGATTCAGAGTCCCTGTGTAAATGTAACACTCACTGACACAGTCTGGTATTCGTGAAAATAAATTGGGATCTGTGATGAAAGAGATTTCGATAGCAGCAAATTTGTTGACAATTCATACACATCATTATGTTAGAGCAACTGCGTGCGCTGTCTTAGATTCGGCAGGAGTTGAACCCAGACACATTATGTATTTCACGGCACATAAAAACGAAGCTAGTGTTCGGTCTTACACAAACAAACTCACAAATAATCATAGTCAAGAAGGAATGTCCAGTATCCCGCCTCGCAGTTTTGGGTATAAAAACAAATTCTCTGATAGAGACGTGATCGTAGCGATCGAAGCGGGTGTTTCTGACAACGTCATCCGTACCCCAGAAAACACCGGCATAGTAGTGTCTGGACCAACTCCCGCAGAATCTGACACCACTTCTAATTTCTAATACCCACAATCAAAGTACACATGCAGCATCTGCTATGTTCCGCTCGTGCATATATGTCGTGAATTGTGCTGTATCTCGTGGTATACCCGCCTCCGGCGGTGGTTTATTGCTTAATTATTCTGCAGTTTGTTTTCATCTTGCCCTCCTCTGAGTTGTCTTTGGTCAGAAATATGGATGTTTGGTTTGAAACTGTCTTTGTGTACATGCTTTTGTGAACACTGTGGGTATAGAATTAGATTTAACGCACATTTCTATAACCAACCATGACATTCAAAATGGCTGTCTAGAGTCTGCTACAAATATTTGTAATTTCTCCTTGTTTTTTTTTTTGCAACCCCATGAGATAATGCTCCACTGTATGCAATACTATAGAAATTTTTACTCCTGTCTATATTATTATACAGAATAAATCTTAAAACAGAAATTGTGGTACTTAATCGTTGCAATCTTCCAGGTCACAAATGTACAATGTGAAGAAGTTCAGGAGCAATGATTGAAATTTATTGAGTTTTATCATGGCCGCCTTATTTTAACTTTGTGGTTGTATGAACCTAATTTCAGCAGTTTCAATTGACGAAGAATTACTTTTAAAAACACACCCGGTGCACTTCCCGGGCGCAGCTAACACGCCAAAATGTCGTCCCAGTTCGCATTAGAAGACTCTTTCAAAAAATACACACTGTACCTAATTTGTAGATATACTGTCAAAACAAAATATCGGCTCCTAACAAAATCAAACAAAGCAATCAATATTCACTCTACTTTTATTTTATGAGAGGCAATTTTTAATTTTTCCTGAAGTTTAATGAATTAAAGAAAATTTTGTAGCTAGTGAACATTTTACTGGGGTTTTTAAGATATAGAGTAACTGTATTATCTGTGCAAATACCCTGAAAAATGGTTTTCAGTGTATCTTTGAACAGTGTAAAGTGACTTGTATTTGTGTTGTAGGTGAATTGCCCGGCGATCCAAATGACCCTGCTGTTCAGACGTTTATGAATAACATGGCTAAAGTAGAGATATCGTTAACTTTGAATAATAAATTTGAAATCCTGGATGAGGATGATACCGATCTTAAGAGTCTTTTTATCAGGTAATATAAACTATTCTGTCTTTATAGAAACTCAACTGAATCCATTTTAGTTTTTAGCTCCGCTGTCGACTTTGTCGAGCGGAGCTTATCATATGAGTGATTGTCCATCGTCGTCCGTCGTCCGTGTCAATGTTTTACTTTTTCGACTTCTTCTTGAAAACTACAAGCCTGAATGCTTTGATACTTGGTGTATATGTACCTTGGGTAGACCTCTCTCAGATTTGTTCATTTCATGATGATATCTTCAATTCTCTAATTTTGGTGAATATTTTTGTCATTTTTAGTAAAAAGTGATATTTTCGACTTCTTGTTGAAAACCGCAAGTGCAATTGCTTTGATATTACATATATAGGTACTACATGTGGACCTCTCTCAGATTTGTTCATTTTGTAATGATATCTTTAATTCTCTAATTTTGGTGAATATTTTTGTCATTTTTGGTAAAAAGTGATATTTTCGACTTCTTGTTGAAAACCGCAAGTCCAATTGCTTTGATATATTATACATATATAGGTACTACATGTCGACCTCTCTCAGATTTGTTCATTTTCTAATGATATCTTCTGTTCTTTAATTGCCATGTGCATTGCTAACAGCGGAGCTATCTCAGCCGACAGGCTGCTTGTTTTAACTCCCGAAGTTGATTAGATGCAATATTAAAATTAATTTTGAATTTACTTATAACTTCAACACCAGTGTCAACTCCTCAATAGATAAAGAGTGGAATGATTTGAGGACAGTTTCTTCTCAAACTGGTTATTGATGTTTATCGATCTCGAGCAGATAAATATTTTCAGTTGAAAACTGGAACTGTTGTGTGCAATAACACTATGTATGTGTGTTTGCTCGATAGGTGAATGTGCTTACATAAATATAAATTCTTTTTTAAATTTTGGATCAGCTGACGATATTTCCATTGCCTGTCATGATAAAAATGCTGTAAAAATGTACGAGGAAAAAATATGCACGCTTTTTTTGTGACAAAAAGTTGATGATTTAGGGATTCAAAGAGTTAACAAATTATTGTTGTTGATACACAGGACCAAACAGCTGATTGTCGACGTGATTGATTGCCAACCAGGTGATACCCTGCCTCAGATATTATCCATACCAGCCTCAGATGAGATGGAAGAATCTCATCAAAATATGGTGATATCAAGAGAAGCTAGAGATAAACGAGCTGATAAAAAAGGGGGTTTAAAGCGATCATTGTCAGTCTACGGAGACAGTCGGTAAGTATCAATGCCTGGACTCCCATAATTTGAAAAAGAATTTGCATGTTTTTAAATCATGCTTGTTTATTTCTGTTGTAAGTACTGCTTATCAGCTCTGGTACAAAAATAATACTAATCTTGCATATTAAGTAGTTGATTTGCATATTAACAAATGAGCATCATTGTCTGCATAAATACTGGTTGTGTATTTGAAAAACTATTGATCAAAAAAGTAATGTACATCACTGGAAATTATTTGGACGTGCTGTGCTGGAGGGTTACAAGGTCATCCACAAACTTGATGTCAATTTAACATTTACTGTATACTGTAGAATACTTTATTTTCGCTTGGAATTTATTTTCGCTATTTTCGCTGAAGGGATGATTCCGTGAAAATAAAATTCAGCGAATATACTTTTTTTCCTGTATTTTACATTAAACTCATCAAAAATCAGTGAAAATAAATTCCATACAAAATGCCCGAAAAGCCTTTTCAGCGAAAATTAATTCCAGCGAAAATAAAGTATTCCACAGTATTCTACATCTACATGTACATAAGTTTGTATTTGGCACAGTCATTTCCATGCGAATGAAGATCACAATGGCAGTAAAAATTTCTCTGTCATTACTTATGTGCAATTTTTCACAAACCCCATAAAATCTTTACATCCGGAGGATTCTTGGCAGAGAACATGAAACTGTTCACAATATACACATGTTAAATATTACTCGAAATTTGAACTTGCATAGATGCTATCAAAAGATAATAAAAGTTTGTGATATTTAATCTATCTTTCCCTGTGACTTTAGATTGCCTTTAGAAGGTAAAAAGAAGAAAATAAGACGCAATTTGAAGTTATTGGAAAAAGCTAGTTTGGTGACAAGTTCCAATAGTTATCAAGACATCGTGAATGCGATCGTCCAGGTTAGTCTCTCTCATTACATTATTTTATGGAACAAACTGGTGTGTGCTCATTCACAGCTTGTGATCCAGTGCAATGGTACAGCGAATGCAAACAAGCTATATACAAGGAGTTAGCAAACTTCCTAGATAAGTCCCTATGAACATCCCAAAATAGCGAAAAACTTTCTCATTGGAGCTATTAATTAGTATAATGTTATGAAAACAATTTGCTATGACAATCTCCGATCCCCTGGTGCCACTTTTTAAATACTACCCAGGTAATGAATTTTTGTTTTGGTACATACTATGACTAAGTTGTCTGTCATTATGTCACATTGTTGTGACTATACAAATGTAATTTGTAAATTATTGTATGAATCTTTTTTGCACTTGCTTCAATGGCTTTGGGGAAGTTGATGGCGTTATTGGAACACTTATAAGGACTTTGTCAGTTGCATGTAACCTGTATGAATTTTGTTAGCCCACCGTCCTGCATTTTCACTAATATATATAGGAAATTATTTCCACAAACTGTGGTTAATTTCTACATGCCACATAGCTTAATCAGGAGATTATGCATGTATAAACTCAAAATTTGGGTGACATGGTTCAAGAAAAATTGTACATTTTGACCGTTGAAAAAAACAGACCCACGTCTCTTTATCATACTTTAACAGTGAAATTTTTAAGCATTTTTAAGCTTTTTGTCGGTACCCTTGGATTTGATACATGGTACAAACTGATACTGTACAACACGCAGTTTAAGACAAATTAAAAGTAACTCTACACATTTTTACATTCTCCATAGGATATCAGAAACCAGCGACGGTATCGACAACGACGTAAACAAGAAATCATGAAACTACGTAATACTTTGAAAGGTTTGGAAACCAAGGCTTCATTCTATGAGGAACAAATAGATTATTACCATCAGTATGTTAAGACCTGTCTGGACAATCTGCAGAGGAAAGGAAAGTAAGTTTACTGAAAGAAGAAATAGTATAACAGTTACCAAATTACATCTACTGTAGTATTACAGTAACTATATTACAGGTGCTGTAGTATTACAGTTAACTATATATTACAGGAGCTGTAGTATTACAGTAACTATATATTACAGGAGCTGTAGTATTACAGTAACTATATTACAGGTGCTGTAGTATTACAGTAACTATATTACAGGTGCTGTAGTATTACAGTAACTGTGTCACAGCTGCTGAAGTGTTGCAGGTACCATGTATTACATCTGCTGTAGTATTAGTTACTATATCAGTTACTGTATTGAAGTAACCATATTACAGGCACTGTAGTATTGCAATAACTGTATCACAGCTGCTGTAGTGTTACCATGTATTACATCTATTGTAGTACTAGTTTCTATATCAGTTACTGTATTACAGTAACCATATTACAGGCACTGTAGTATTAGAAGCTGACACAACACAAATAACATTTATTGTGTACTAAATCATTAAAATATAGTTTGGCATAGCTCTAACTTTTATGTGCATGCGATGCTAATATGTATTGTATTTCCTTTTAATAGAAGCATATTGTAATACAAAATCCACTTGATGTGTTAATTAAATTTTCATATTCTCTAAAGCTTATTGAACAATGAACAATTTGAGTTCATTTCTTTGTTAAATTTACATGTTTCTTGAAGTTTCAGTCGATATTGATTCAAAGATGGCCATGTAGTAAGGCTAGCTCGGTGACCAGTGACAATGATGATTGTGAAAATGGTCTTCTCAGATAAACACTTCATTTAATTTTAATTTCAGAAAATCACAGAAAGCGCGAAATCCTTTCACTGTTAACAAAGAAACGACAAGAATACAGGGTCAGATTAAGTACACTGCTGCTAAACTCCATGAGAAGGGAGTCATATTGGAAATAGAGGGATTACCAGAAAACCAGTGAGTATTTGTCTTCAATCACCACAATTTATGGTGGTTGCCTTATGTTCGATATGGGTCCCATTAGACGTACTAAGTACTTTGTTTGTTCACACAAACGTGTGTTGCACAGTGTCCACTGCCATTCAAGGGGTTAAACCATTAAAAGTTCAAGATAGGATAAACTTAATTCTCTAAATTTCTTCCCTTGTCCTTGCACCCCTAAAAACTTAAAAGGATGGTGGTCGTCGCGCTGCTTCATTTCCGATAAAGGACTCTTAGCAATGTGTACAATGCCTTAAAATAGTTTGTCTACATAAAATACGGATGCTTGCTACACGATGACCACTGCACTTCAAGTTCATTAATATTGATCCTCTGCATATATTTTACCTCATTTGCATAACTAGTAAAACACAATGCATTTTTCGTCATAATAATTGGTTAATCAATTAATGAGGGCATGTTTCGAAGTTAAACCAAGAATTTTGGAACTATACTCGTGTTACAGTGTTTGTTATCTTAAGATAAAAGCATATTAATCCCAAAAAATCAAACAAAGCGCTTCACAGGAAGCATGTATCATCTTTAAATATTCGTTTACGATCAATTCAGTGTGTAGTCTTTGTGTTTCAGCATCGATCAATTAACCAGAGATGCAGAATTGTTATGCTATACATCAACAAGCACAGTAGTTGCCCTGTATTCAATCGCATGTTTTGTATAGGATGTGGCAATAAATTGACTGACCTTTTTTTTTTTTCAGATTCAAGAACGTCATGTTTGAGATCGGTACAACTGATGTTCCTGGAACATTCCAAGTTTCTGCCAAGTTTATGGGTGTTAGTATGGAGAGAGTGGAGGTGGTTTTTCAGGTAGGGTTCAATAAACTTTGGGGGATTATAAATGCCAATGCGAATGCCCATCCCTATAATTAGATGTTATTGTTGTTATTGTTGTTATGAACAATATAAAATTACCATATTCAGTGTAGCACATTCAGCTATTTTGTGATTTATATAACAATACGAGATATTACAAATCACATTGGATTCTGGGTAATTACTGGCTCTGCCCGTCATTGGTCCCTAGTCTGAATCATGACAATTCTGAA